GCGAAAACTTACACATAGGGAAATGATAGGCAAAGTTTTAATTTAATACCATCATTCGTCTTAGATTCTGAGAAGGAAACTCGTATGCTAATTAACTTGCACTTGGCTTTTTCTCTGGATAATCTGAGACAAAATTTTGACAAATAGTGCATTTCCCGAAAATTTTAAGCAATGACTTCGTTATTTGTGATCCAACCGAGCAAATTGAAACTGAAAACTCGCCAGATATCAAATTCGCTGCTCAGGGCTTGTTTTTTCTTTTATGCCTCAGGAGAAATTCTAATGCGTTGTTATTGTGTAGCAGCTGTTTAGATGTAAAATTACTGAAGGATGAAAATCCTATCTGATATTGAGAATAAATAATAAACCGCTGATTGGCGTGTGGCTAAACTTTGACTAAACAATACAAAAATAGATAAAGTGCTCGCCGTTAAGAACTGCTAAACAAGGGTGTAAATGCACAATACAATTGTATATGCAATGCAAATTACTTCACAAAAAGAATGTTTGCCATCGGGGCATAGCATTAACAACCTTTTGAAAGCCGAAATTTGTTTTGTCGGATTTTAAGTCCAAAGTCACCTATTTCAAATCAAAAGAGGTTTTCAGAATCTTAAAGGCCGCATGGTAACTCCGATGGCCTTGGCCTTCTCGATTTTGAGATTTATCGGCCTAAAATAACGACGGTACTCAAGATTCCGCTTTTCCTAATTTTTTCCATATTTTTTTTAGAGTTAGTACTAGTATAAGCTTTTTTACAAAAGACAGCATTAATAGAACACTTTTGTAAAATTCTCCGATTGGCATTAAATAATTGTTGTGAGTCCCCAAAGGCCATTAAAATGTGATTCAAAGCCGGTAAGTTTCAATGGCGCTAAACTAATTTCTCAAACTCCACACATACCTGCAATATTTGCTTCTGTCTTAAAAGAAAATGCTGAGCAGATTGTACACCAGAAGAGCAACTTTGTGTTCACCAACAACTTCACTTTTCCCATGGCTGATCATAGACGCGATGTCGCAGCTTCATCGCACCTTCTAATGGAAATGCATTCCCCAGCTGATAATGGGATCCGCAGACAACCCAGTAAGCCCTCGATCACAAAATAATAGTCCCGCGGTCCCTTTTCATCGAAGCACAACAGTAGAATATTCTAGATTTGATACGCACACGCTAAGTTCAATCGTCCTTCCACGCTGAATCCCATCAACTCAGAAGGCCTCCACCCAAACAGTGATTTGAATAAAAGGAACTGTAAATGTCAGTAACACATTGAGAGGTTATCTAGCGTGAAGGAATAACAATGAATTTTAATGCTGTACGTGCATGTTGTGTGCCTGAAATGTCTAGCTCGAACTGCCCCCAACAAATTGAAAAGAAAGACAAACAAAACACCTCCTTCAGTGGTAATTACTTGCTTTTCTGTGAGGTAGAAGATCTTTGATATTGACACTTGCGGCTTTAACCATGTGTTTTTCACAGAGTGGGTACTCTGGAAAACAAAGTTAAATATGCTAATTATAATTAAATTGCTGCTTCTATTTGGTTATTCGAGAAATTACAGATCCCAAGGTTGGATCAAATTTAGATTTTCTTACCGCTCTGACAAACAGCTACCGAGATTTTTCTAGTTCGTTCCGCAATATGTTGTGTTAATTGCTGCATACATATCTACAGTTTGCAAACCGTCTCTTTGTTTCTTTTGCCGCACAAACCGCATGATAAATAAATCCAAATAAAGACAGAAGCCATTTAGTTTTCTTAATTAGTTGAAAATTGCACGCGCTCTCAAACGTGTTTGGCCAAGCATGAAACTAAAGCCCGAAATTCAAACATGCGCCAATTAACTTCTACTGATCCATTTGCAGCGTCAATGGTGTTGACACTGGGGCCAGAATGGCTATGACATAGATGCGATCATTCAGATATTCTAACCGCAAATCTTAAATTAAAGGTGCTATCCGCCTCTTGCTAAGGCGACCATTTGTACTTGGATATATGCCTCTGAAGCAGCTGAAATCTGCAAACAGCTTAATAGAACACGTGGTCGGATTATTTAGATAGTTTCATTACCTTTTCTTAGAGTATCAGGGATAAATCTGTTGTTCTTTGTAGAAAAGCTTTATCTCTTAAATTCAACCCCTTAGCTAACGTCACGACAGTCTCACCAGGAAATTAGCCGAAAGACTGTAGTTATACTTTCTAATATATCCCACATAATAAATTTTACCAGATGGTTTGGATTTTTTATCCGGCGCTAAAATGCTAACTTCTTCCTCGATGATCCTGTTTCCATTCATGTACCGCTTGACTGAACTCAACCTTAACATTGATTTCTTTGACTCAGCGGGTTTGCTTTAATTTAGTTAAACTTTTTTCAGACAATAAAAGTGTCATAAACTTAGCTGACACAATGAATGGTATAAATTTTTGTCTTTAACAAAACACAGCGAGATCCAAGATACAAGGAGGGCTAAAAAACCTGCAAACAGTCAGCTAAGTACATGGCTATGCCACGTAGCCCTCCCATGCCTTGTTAACCACTCCTGAATTTCTGACCGAGTAAACTAAGGAACCGTTGGGCCCATGAAATAATCACTGATTGGCAAGTTATTCACAGCAGAGTTTGTTGTATCATACATTAGCCACAAAGTGAAGACATGAAACTTTTGCATAAAAAAGTTTATTATTGAGCTTTGAAAAAAATGCATTCGAACGTGATTTGATACAGACTTTGAAACAGGGCTGGTTGCCAGAGTCTTAGTGGCACTAAAGATATCTGGTGGAGTACGAACGCTCAAAAATAATTTTCTAGAGAGAGTTTCAGTACAGGCTTTGAAGCAGAGGACGTCTGGAAAGATAATGAAATTTTCTATTAACAGGGTGTTGGATAGACAAACGAAGCGATGATAGGGGAGGAAGGGGAGGGTGGGAAAGGAAAAAACTCGTTGCCTATCAACCTCATCCACCAGCCACTCAGGAGAAGTAAGGGTTTAAATTTTCAATGAGGAACATTTGGTAGGCAGCAAGTCAAATTACCGTTTTGCATTGGAAATAAGCTATAACTTTTTTTTCTCAGAGGCACTTTGACGAGAGGGGGGAAGGTACAACTGTACCATGTTTTAAAGGACTTTAATATCCCTCGATATCAAGCATGAAAAAGAAATTCTCGAAAATAACTTGACTGTTCTGATTCACTAGGGCTAGAAAATATGCCGTTCATAGCGCAGGTAAACGTGGTCATTGAAACCATCGCCGAGGTAGTATTAACGTTGTCACGATGAAACTCCTGCCTATAGATAACATAACGAAAACTCCTTGAGTAAGAAAAAGCAAAAAAATCAAATGCCTAATTAAAATACATTTATAATGAACCATAAGACCTCATGGTATCCTAAACGCAACTTTTAAGTTTAAGTGTTCCGGCCAACCCTTTCTTGAAGTGATCATTTCTGCACTGCAGCCTGTTGCGGACCAGTCTACGTTTCTTCACTAACAACGAGAAACAATCCATTGCCCGAGGATTTTCGACGTCGGCTAATGACAATCACAGCGACAGTGAGCCCAATGGCGAGCGTTCCTAGCACTCCGACTAAAATTCCCACAATAGGAATCGTGCTATCAATGGAATCTGACCGATCGTCGCTGTTCTTTTTAACTGTGCAGAGGAGGAAGGACAAAGTTTATTGACTAATGAGTACAGGAGAGCTTAAACAAAACCTTTTTAATCGTTGCTTTCAAGCCATCAGATGCTGAACGGTGGAAATAAAGTGTTGTTGGTTTAAAATTTAAACTGGTCTTAGCATCAAGACTGAACTTACTCCAAACTATTCTGAAATTTACTTAGGACTGAGAAGTAGAAAAAAACCGTTAGAGCTCATGCGAATTGCTGATTGAGCAGTAGCGATAAATTTATAGAGGAAAAGTTTCCATGAAGCATTTAATAAATTTGAATAAGTGAAGGATGTTTTGGTTGCAGTACTGAACATGGCTGCCGTTCTAGAGCACTGGTACCAATATGACTGCTGTGGATACTTCTGTGAGAAGTAAATGTAGGCGATAGATAGAGGTAGCAGGCGACTAACTTTTCTCTCGAAGCATCTGTGAAATAAGCTTAAATAGATAATTTGGACGTATCCACGTGAACACTTTTTTATTACTCACCAGCGTCATTCTCGACGACTTTTGGTTTCAATGGTCCAATGTAGAGACTGGCACCAAAGTCCTCTTCCGCTGATCTCTTTCTTCTCTTTGTAGGCTGACAACCTTTGGCGCACCTAGATTCGTCGTCATCTTTTCGACAAATCGTTAGCTTACAGTGGACATAGATATCACTAAAGCTTTCTGTGAAGCGGAAGGCATCAAGATTGAAGAAGTGTTCTGATCTTTGGCCATACTGGTATTGTAAAGTATTGTCTTTTGAGCAGCTGAAAAAAGACAAAAATTATCCATCCTCTGCCAAATTACGATGTCTCCGTCAAACGTTTCACAAATCATTTTTGGAAAAGATGTCAATATTTGTGATGAGTGTTGGACAACGGAAATATTCTTCAGCTCTCACTCAAGATCTGAGCCCTAGAGCTTCCGACTTCACTGTCATATGCAGGGAGAATTGGGCTAAGGGTTTTCAAAGTGCATAAAGCCCATTTTTAAATCATCGTTAAGCCTTTGATATTTTTTTCATTATTATTTCTTCATGTCGAAGTATTTTTTTTCAGGAAAAACGTCTTTCCATGGCCTAATTCTTAAAGCAAGGGTTCGTGGAAATCATTGTTGTCTTATCAAATTTCAGTTTCGGTATCTTACTTACGCCTTGTCGATGATGACGTGGTCGGGAGTTGAGTTGAACCTAGGCGATGCTGTGGCTTTGCAAACATCCGGGAACACAACCAAACCAGTGTCTCCAGACTCCACTCGAAAGCCATAATACATCTTTTGACCCAAACCAACTTCTTTTGGGAATTCTGTGACCGTTGCGTTGTTGCTTTCGTCCTCATACATGTCCATATAGTACGTGAAGTTGCCAATGCCCTCTGGAAAAGCAGAAAAAATAATGAAGAAGTTTTCTATCTGCGTATGTTTCTCTATGGTTTGGACTCGTTAACGCTAACTGCGGCTTACTTTAGTTGCTCCTATTACTTTATTCAATTCAAAGTTCCCCTCTTATCAACAAAAGTTTGATATTAAGATTGTAAGGCTATAAAAATTGATTTACAGTGATCTCATCAAGAGAGGCGTCTCACCTTGGTGTAAAGAGGCACTCGATCGAGCAGAAAGCGGAGTGTTAGTGCTGCAACGATTCTCGAGGCTAAGCGTTCAAGTGAACCCTCTTAGCCGACCACTTGGTGAGTGAAAGCCAGTTACAGGGTTAGGGTTAGGGTTAGGGTTAGCAGCGAATACGGTATGTATACCTTACCCGGATAGTCCCTTGGGATAGGAAGAGGGAGTATGTAAAGTCGCTGCGGAAGCCCTATGTTCCAGGCGGAGAGCAAAGGAAAAAGGCCAGTTAAGTCAATAATCCAAGTTTGAAACGAGATTTTGAAGTTTTAGTCATGCTGTGGTCAGTTTCAGCAGGCAAAAATAAACTTTTTTCCCAAACCTCAAACACAACTGGCAACTTACCATGTACCTAATACTTTCAGAGATTGCAGACACAACAGTCTGGTGACAAAGAGCTTATAGAGAAAATGTTCTTTATTATAAATGGAAACCAAGCAAGTACTTTACCTGTATCTGTTATGATTTGCACAGCGCGTGGGTTGTATGAAACTTTGGAGAGGATGGCTTTCTTGTTATATCCACAGTGAAAAGGAATAATCTCCGTGTGTTCGCGAGTTATCGCCTCGTCTTCGGCCGCCTCACCGGCTTTGAGGTAGACCTTGTTCGTGTAGTATATCTTCTCCCCATCGTTCTTGTGTTTAGTGCTGCAATCCTCAAGTCCAAACTTAAACGTCACCTTCGTGTTATCTTTGTAACCAGGAACGCAGTTTCTGTCCTCAAGATGAAGAGAAGAGTCGTTGAGAACGATTCCAGGGAAATCTGAAATCTTTAGAGAGACCTCGATGAAGTCAGGTTTGCAGACCACGTCTATTTCTGAAATCAAAACGTAAAAGGAAAATCCAAATGAACAACCCAATTTATCTGAATGTCTTCTAAAAATTACCTGTATCACGTTCTAAGTCTCTATAGGCAATATTTACATTTATTTTCCCACTATTGGTTTTGACGAGACGAATATTTGTTAAACCTACTCAGGAAGTGCGTTACAGTAACAATCATTGTATCCCGATGATTTTTTAGGACTGCATATCGGTTTTTTGGCTTGTTTCCAACAGCAACCTTTATACATACCTTCCTCTTTTTATTCAATCCTGATGTAGGCGCATCTTCCTGGTATGTGTGTCAACTGACCATTTATTGATTAACGACATTTCACTTCGGTGCGTGCTAAATATCCATAATTCACCACCTACACCGAGGTGAATACTTGTTTAAGTATGTACTAAAAACTTGGCGATGATATAGAAAAAAAAGAGATTTTTGACCGATTGAAATATCTTCCGGCGCAAGTCCCCAGCGAGTTCTTTGATGGTGAATAGCGCTGGGTAATCGGACACTGAGTAGCCAATCAGTAATCGAAGCGCGCCTTTCACGTTACTCGCTGTTTAGGTGTGTACTAAACCCCAATGTAAAGTTAGTAACCTTTGGCTATATATAAAGATAGAACTTTGCAGTTGAAATGAAAGCTGAACCACTCACTAGCTTCGGTATCCAAAGTTATGTTACCGCCATCAGTAGGCCGTGAATCGACTATAGCTAGAAAAAACACAACGCAATAGATAAGCATGTATGTACCTACATGGATATATATAAACGGAGGCTTTCCGTAGTTAAAATACTCTTCAGCTGTTCTTTTTTTAGAAAGGCACAGCACTTTAGCTGACCTTAATGTAGCAAAAACATGAAAATACGTTTGGCCCTGTTATTTCCCCGTTTGGTGTTGGATACTTCAAGAATAAAAGTCTCTGTAACAAAATTGTTTGATCAGCAGTGTTCTGGGAATTTGAGTTACAGTTCCTGAGGGAAAAGAAAACAGCATCTTTGAACCTTTAGCCAAGATTGCAATTGTGGCCAAAGTAAATTTATCGATTTTACACTTCATTCCAGTTGAATTCCTTTTATTGCAAAGGCGACTTCTTCGTATTCTTCTACTTCCCACGTTTCTTATCTTTTAACATTTATTTATTTATGTTTTGACTAGCTCACCTGGATAAAGCTCTTTCGTTTGATATATTGCACACTTGATATAATGAAGTATAATATGAAACAGTCTCGATAGGGTGACGGCTTCTACGGCGAATGGTTAGAATTTGGGCCATTTTACGGCTACGGTTAACCCAGAATGATACATTATAGAAACGAAACTTGTTTACGGTTTACTTTTGTAACGACTAAAGGTTAAAATTTGTCAATTTTTATGTCCAACGACAAAATCTTTGTGGCCGTTTTACTGCGTCTCACTGTTAACTCCTATAAGACCCTCAGATGTATCGACTGAGTGATTTCAGCCGGTCGGTTTTCTCTCCGTCGGTCCGTGAGTTAGTCTATAGCGCATAAATCAACATATATCAGGGGTAGCCCGTTTTCACAATACTTTCTAAACGCGCATTTCTACCTTGAGAGTAGTTCAAACGAAACTGCTTACCCGACGACTTGCACACCTCTCCTTGAGCATTGAAGCCAATTGGATGTGAATCTTTTAAAGGGCAATTGGTGTTTCCTGGGGGACATTCTTGAGGAGCTGAAGGAAATATTGAAAAAATTTAGTTTACAAGAGAATATGATCCCTTGTCATATGTCATATATGAATGGCTTGAAACTACAAACAAGGCGAAATTTAGTCAGCAGAATTTAACGTTATCTATTTTGAAAGGGGGTGGGAGTGACATGAATGAATTTTTTATTCTATTTGTCTAAATAAAAATTTTAAAAATGTTCAGAAAGGTGCAAAATTTATGGCAAAACATGCGGCAAATAATGGAAATAGGGAGAATGAGTCGAGGGAAAACCAATTTTCTCGCCAAAATCGTAGTCCAGGTAATCAAAGCATTTCAGACGTCAACAGTTAGACTTGGATATCGTCGATATGCATGAAAATAACTACTTTGTCTGTTCACCGTGAAAAAAGACTCTACAATACGTGGAAATAACAATCTAACCTGCATGGGACGACTTGGAGTGGGCTAACACACATATCAATGTAATCAGGAAACAAAACACCCTTTGGAAGACTCTAAACGAAGTTAATTATGAGCAGAGCCTTGGATATGAAGTATTAGAATTATTTTCGAACGGAAAATAAATATACTCTTCAATCTGCCCCAGGGATCGTTCTAAGATCTTGATCAGGACGCGATAAAATAAATTTATAACTATAAAGAAGGCCGATATAAACTTACACAATGCTTGGTAGGTGGCATAAAATCCTGGCCAGTTATTCTCCTTGTAAGATCTAAAAGTCACGAACATCGTCTCCTCCGAGGTAACGAATGAAAAAAGTGGCTGACATCCGCAGAGCGTTTTGATATCCCGGGTTTTGTTTTCACGCGACTCGCTTATGCTGATGCTGTCATCACCGCAGGCCCCTGGACGCGAATATCGGTGGTCTTCAATACCGAGGAAACGAATTGCAAATTGCATACGGTAGCCTGGGGGAGCAGCAATATTCCACGTACAATATTCATTGGCTCCATAGTTCTTAGGGAAGTTAGGACTGCTTATAACACCCGAGAGTCCTCCCAAATGGGTGTCATCACCACAGAAATCTACGATGAAGGAAAAAAATTGTGATGGAAATATCACGCATAAAATATAGAAGAAAATTCAATTTTACCAAATATCTTCACTTCAAAATGTAATATTATAGAAAATTCTCAGTACAATTATAAACAAATATTTAAAAGTATACAAAAATAAAATTTCAACCTTAGTCTTGTGGAATACGACCAGTTAAACCTCATTGAATTTCAAATGGTTTGCGATTTACGTATACCAATCTTCAAAGTTTCTATTGACGAATACATGCAGACCAGGTTGCAGGCGAACGCAAACGAGAGTTTAAATGTTCGATAAGTCACTAAATAACTAAATATCAAACAAACTTTAGCTCAATTTATAACAAACTGCGATTTTCGTGTACATTTGGCGTATACAATGTCTAATAATGAGACAAAAAAAGAAAATATTCTAGAGCCCGCTTGGAAAATAAATCAGGATAAAA